GTAGTAGTAGTGGTAGTAGTAGTAGTAGTAGTAGTAGTAGTAGTAGTAGTAGTAGTAGTAGTAGTAGTAGTAGTAGTAGTAGCAGTAGCAGTAGTAGTAGTAGTAGTAGTAGTAGTAGTAGTAGTAGTAGTAGTAGTAGTAGTAGTAGTAGTAGTAGTAGTAGTAGTAGTAGTAGTAGTAGTAGTAGTAGTAGTAGTAGTAGTAGTAGTAGTAGTAGTAGTAGTAGTAGTAGTAGTAGTAGTCCTAGTAGTAGTAGTAGTAGTAGTAGTAGTAGTAGTAGTAGCAGCAGTAGTAGTCGTAGTAGTCGTAGTAGTCGTAGTAGTCGTAGTAGTGGTAGGAGGAGGAGGAGGCGGAGGGATGAACTTCCCTCCTTAGTCTATCCCCCCCCTACGTTGCCCCCGAGCCTTGCCTCTCCCGTGCCCTTCCCGCCTGGGGGCAATGCTGCGCTGCCCACCGGCGGCACCGCGTCGAGAGCCTCGGCGATGCCTGGTGGGCCACAGAAAGGTTCACGGTTCGGACTTCACGGGCGAGCGGATTAGGGGCGGAGAAACAGAGAAAGAGAGAGAGAGATGGGTTGAGGGGGGCGAGAGGGAGGGACGGAGGGAGGCGGGAAGGGAGGGAGGAACCTCGCGCTCTTGCCTATACCTATACACAGACGTCACATGCCTTTTTTTTTGCGTATTCACATCTGCGTGTATATGTTGTTGTGTAGCTGTTCGTGCATACATACATATCTTCACCCATGCGCCTCCACTCCGTGAGCCCCCCCTTCGTCCACTCTCATAGCTGCCCCCGTGTGCGACTTCGTACAGTGCGGCTCCCTGTGGGTGAACCCTGTACGTCGAGCCCGGCCATGGCCGCCGCGACAACGTCTAGCCGCTTCCGCTACCCTGACTCCGCCGCGTTGCTGCGCGCCTGGCCGCAACGCCCAGAAATGTGTGTGTGTGTGTGTGTGTGTGTGTGTGCTTGCACTCAGGGTTTTTAAATTCTGTTCTAGGGAACTGTGGGGGGTTGCTTGTCGCCGTCGCCGCCCCGTCGCCGCCACTTCACCGCCTCGTCGCCGCCTCGTCGTCTGGGGGGGGGGTTAGTCGGTCTGGCGGCCATGAAACGCCGCACTGGGTGGCGCGGGACGCATGCATCACAGCAGCTGGGGCGTTCGGTGGGGCTCCCTATGGGGCCACGAAGCCCCGCACTGGGTGGCGCGGGACGCATGTGATCATAGCAACTGGGGCCTTCGGTGGGGCTCTCTATGAGGCCACGAAGCGTCGTACTGGGTAGCGCGGGACGCATGTGATCATAACCACTGGGGCGCTCGCTAGGGCTTTTGTGGGGCCACGAAACGCCGTAGTGGGTGGTGCGGGACGCATGTGATCACATCCACTGTGGCATTCGGTGGGGCTCCCTATGGGGCCACGAAGCGCCGCACTGGGTGGCGCGGGGCGCATGGGGCGTTCGGTGGGGCTGCCTATGAGGCCAAGAAGCGCCGCACTGGGTGGCGCGGGACGCATGTGATCACAACCATTGGGCCCTTCGGTGGGGTTCCCTGTGGGGCCACGAAACGCCGCACTGGGTGGCGCGGGACGCATGTGATCACAACCGCTGGGGCTATCGGTGGGGCTCCCTGTGGGGCCACGAAGCGAAATACTGGGTTCCCCGGAGCGCATGTGATCACAACCACTGGGGCCTTCGGTGGGACTCCCTATGGGCCATGGAACGCCGTACAAGGGGGCGCGGGACGCATGTGATCATAACCACTGGGGCGTTCGCTGGGGCTCCTTATGGGGCCACGGAGCGCCGTACTGGGTGCGCTGAAAGGGTGGACATGAGGAGGGCAGAGGCAGGGATGGGAGGAGGGAGGAAGGGGAGGAAGAGGAGGAGGAGGAGGAGGAGGAGGAGGAGCAGGAGCAGGAAGAGCAGGAGGAGGATGATGATGATGAAGAGGAGAAGGAGGAGGAGGAGGCGGAGGAGGAGGAGGAGGAGGAGGAGGAGGAGGAGGAGGAATGAGGCGAGGAGAGGAGGAGAGGAGACGCCGGGAGCTGTCTCCTCAAAACGAGGACCCAACACTACAGGATGGATTGGAACACGTGTTTTCGCAACAGGAATTTTCGAACAAGCCTGCGCTCGCGCTCTGGCGACTCCTTCAGAACACCAGAGGTCGTTTAAACATTTTATCCAATACGACCAAACGTGCCCCTCGCGCGCGCATGTCGAAATCATTCGAAGAATCCCTTGTGAAAGCGCGACGAAGTGCACACGCGGGCTTTGTCGCGCGCGCATGCCGACATCCTTCAACAACCTTGGGCTTCGTACGGATCTAATCATCGAGTGTCCCAAAACATCTCAGAAAACACAAGAAATTGAAACAACAACTTTCAAAACAGATCTGCGCGCGCTCTGAAGAAATTCTCAAGACAACCGTCGGTTTTTCAGCATCTCCATCGCATTCGACCAAACGGGCCTCTCGCGCCGCATGCCGAAATCATTCAAACGCCCTTGCGCGCGTGCTGGGGTGGCACGATCCCTGCCAAATGATACCATGCGGGCAACTCGCGCGCGTCGGCCGCGCTCGCATGTCGAACTCCTTCCAGAACCATCATCACCGATCCGGCCTGATTCAAGACGGCCACGGACAGCACAGGGGAGGAGGAGGAGGGGAAGGAAGAGGAGGCGGAGGAGGGGGAGGAGGACGAGGAGGAGGGCCAGACTTTCTCCCCAAACTCGGTTGTATGTTGCATTGTGTGTTCCGCACGTTTTGCCGAGTGACCAATCGGACACACTAGTTTTGTCTGTGCTCCCTTTTTCCCTGACCTTCCTGTGTGTTGGGTCCCCGCTTTGAATCCGCAGCGCTGCGCGTCCACTCCTCCTCCGCCTCTTCCTTCTCTTCCTCCTCTCTTCCTTCCTATTCACTCCTCCTCTTCCGCGCTATCCTCCCTGCCTCCTCTGCTGCGATGTCTTCGGCGCACCCCTTACGCGGGTCGTGCTCCACAGGGAGCTGACCTATGGCACCAATGAGAGAGCTCACATGGCGTCCCCGCGCACGTTTCGGCATAACGCTCACGCAGATCGTGCGCGCATAGGAAGCTCCACCTTAGGTCCCAGTGGAAAGAGAGAGAGAGAGAGAGAGAGAGCGAGAGAGAGAGAGAGAGAGATAGAGAGAGAGAGAGAGAGAGAGAAAGAAAGAAAAACAAAGAAAGCGAGGGGGCAGAAGAGCCTGAAGCAGGCGAGGGAGGGAGGGAATACCCAACGGAGGGGAGCGGATGGGGCGGAGGGCGAAACACGCCGTGGCGCACGCGGCACCAGACGGGCGGAGGGCGACGAGCGGCCGAGGCGAGGACCGGCGGCGCGGAGCGCGGGCCGCGTCTTCGCATTCCTCGTGGCCCCCCCCCCCCCCTGGGGGTGCCGAGGGGGCGCAGGAAGCCGTGCACGAGCTCCTGCGCCTCCGGCGCGGTGAGGTTCCCCTGGAGCAGGCACTCCACGTGGCACCGGTCCAGCAGCCTCCTGCCGGGGGGAGCGCGCGCGGGGGCCCCCCCGCGCTCTCTCTGCCGGGCCTCCGGTGGCCCGCGCCGCGGGCCGCGGCGACGGAGGGAGCGGCCGCGCGCCGCGCTCGCGCGGCGGCCGCGCCGGGGCAGTGGCCTCGCCATCGCTCGGGCGTCCATTCTCTGTGTTTTTTTTGTCGGTTTCGTGCGTGTCTTTTTCGCCAAGTGGTCAAGGATGCTCCTCGATGGCCCTCGCCGAGGGAAAAGTGCACACGTCCGAGCGATGCCGAGTGGCCAGCCTGGCCGGAGGGCAGGACGAGGACGGACGCAGGCAAGAGCCGCCTGGCCCCTACGATGGCGCGGGCCTTTCCTCCTCCTCCTCCTCCTCCTCCTCCTCCTGCTCCATCCCCTTTTCCTCATGAGCAACTCCTCCCCGTCGCGCCCCCAGACGTGTGGGTAGGGCGGGCCGAGCGTTTCGCCTGAGACTTCCTCACCGTTTCTGATCCAGGAGCTTGGGATTTGCGACAGTTTCACGGATGGAGGGCGGACTGTGTGCAACATGTGGCGCTCGCCCTAGCGCCGTGCACATTCGTGCTTGAAGCATCGCAGCAGTTTCACAGATGGAGGGTGGGTGGTTTTCGAACTGTGTCTCTCGCCCTAGCGCCGCGCACACCCGTCGTAAAAGTTTGCAGCAGCTTCGCGGATGCAGGGCGGACCATTTTCAACATGCTGCTCTCGCCTAAGCGCCGCGCGCATTCGTCTTAAACATTGGCGCAAGTTTGGAGGATGAAGGGCGTTTCTCTTTTAACATGTGGCTCTCGCCTTCGCGCCGCGCACATTCGTTTGACAGTTTGCACTCGTTTCAAGGATGCGCATGGTCGAAGTCCAAGAACATGGCAATCTTTAAGATTGTCAAGACTCGACAGTCGTGTTGATTTGCGCTGTTGAAGTTCCAGAAACTATGTTCTAACGCGGTTTAGGGTTGTCAGGACGCAACTGCCGCGGAATTCGTGACGCTGCAATCCAAGAAATTGCGTTTTGGCACGATTGAAGATTTTCAGACGGTTGTCTTCCAATAGGACATTTTCCGCAATGGAAATACATTATTGTAGGACCCTGTGAAGAGGGACCTTGGACGACAGGTTCCTTGTAACATCGTTGATGCGTCTTGGGTTTGCACTGGTCCTCCTCATGCTCCTGCTCCTGCTCCTGCCCCTCCTCCTGCTCCTGCTCTCCTTCTCGTCCACCTCCGCCTCCTTCTCCTCCCTCCCCCGCGGCACTTCGCCTCCTCCTCCTTCTCCTCCTCCTCCTCCTCCTCCTCCTCCTCTGGACGGCCGCCGACAGTGAAGTTGAAGCTCGACTGCGAGAGCCGCCCCGGTGGAGACAACACACGCTGGAGGGGCTGAAGGGGTGGAGGGCGGGGTTCGGGCGCTGCTTACAGTCGGACCTAGGCCTGAAGAATATCCTTCAAAAACATGATAAACTCCGCCGGCCAAAACGAAGGACATTCGAGGGTGCCCTCGACAGGGTGCACAAGAACAGTTAGCAAGCACGAAGAACACCAAAGTGCACTCCCCGAACCGACCTCAATCTTGTACCTCGGTCCGACTGGAGTGTCCGTGTGTGTGTGTGTGTGTGCGTGTGCGTGTGCGTGTGTGTGTGTGTGTGTGTGTGTGCGTGTGTGTATATATATGTGTGTGTGTGTGTGTGTGTGTGTGTGTGTGTGTGTGTGTGTGTGTGTGTGTGTGTGTGTGTCTGTGTGCGTGTCTGTGTATATGTGTGTGTATGTGTGGGAAGTGGGGGGAAGGGGGGAAGGGGGGGCACCAGAAGGGGGGGGGCGAAGACAGGGGTGCGCACCCTCCGTGCGCCGTCGGGGCAAGGTGAAGATGGGGCCCACGAGAAGGGGGGGGCCACAGGAAGGGGGGGGCCAGTTGAAGAGGGGCCCACGAGAAGGGGGGGCCACAAGAAGGGGGGGGAGGGGGCACAAGCACGGGGGGGGGGCGGGGCAAAGGGCGAAGACGAGTGCACCCTCCGTGCACCCGACGTCGCACCGCTCGCGAGGGGCCGCGCGCGGGCACCCCCGGGGACCGCGTGCGGAGCAGAGCAGCGCGCGCTGGGCAGGTCTGCTGGGGCGGGCGAGCAGGAGCAGGGAGGAGAAGCAGGAGCAGGAGGAGCAGGAGTACAATCGGGGCGTTGACCTAAGGAACCCTAAATCAGGAACGAGGCCCCTTTTCTCCCATAAGTTAAACTTTGACTCCCCATCAAAAATCTGAAGAAAACCTAGGGCAAACTGTGAAGGAACACGGAGCCCCTCCCCAACGAGAAGGGTTCCTTTTTCAGCGCCCCGACTGTAGGGGCTCAGAGAAGGGAGGAGGGCAGAGGAGGGCGAGGAGCCAGAGGTCCGAGGCACCGTGCTTTCCTCCAGCCCAGGGCCTCAAGAGATGCCAGCCCTCCCCCGAGGCGTTCTGCGACTGCCCTGGGGCTCCTCGGAGGGCCCGAGGAAGCCGAAACAAATTCGTATTCGAAGTCCTTCCTTCGCGCTCTTCTCGCGACGAGGACGGGGAAATGTCAGTCTGCATCGAACCAGGAAATCGGATCGAATCAAATGTGCGTCGGATCAGGCTGCATCAGCACGGAATCGAAATCGAATTGGATCGGCTGCGCCAGGATGCACAAGCACGCCATGCAAACATTGTGCCGCATCGGATCGTCGGAATGTCGGAATCCTACCAGATCGGGCCAGCCAAGTCGGTATCGCATCGGATCGATCGGATCGAACTGGACCCTGGGGGGAGGGAGGGAGGAGGCCGAGGAGGAGGATGGGGAAGAGAACAGAAGGGAGGAGGAGGAGAAGGAGGAGGAGGAGCAGGGTGAAGAGGAGGTGAAGGACGATGGACGAGGAAGGCGAGTAGGACGAGGATGAACAGCATCAGCATCGGGAGGGGCGACAGGGTGTGCGGGGGGGGTGAAGAGGAGGATGAGGATGAGGAGGATAAAAAGGGGGAGGATGAGGAGCGCCCTGGCCGGTCTGGCCTGGGGGCTTGACTAGGCTTCGCAGGCGCTCCGCGCATGCTTTTCGAGCAACCAGGGCAAAGGCACCTTGCTGCTTGTCATTCTTCTGCTGCTAGAACTAACCTGGCCCACAGTGCCTCAGCTAGCCTTCGGGAAGGAGGGGGCCTGCAGGGGCACACTGAAAAGGTGCCTCACCTTAGCTCCGCACAGCTCGGCTCGCCCAGCCCTAGCTGGAGACGAGAGCTCGCTCCCAGAAGGCATCCTGCTCCCACGGCAAGAGGGCGCGGGACGCCTCACCAAGAGCGAGCTTAACGTTATAAGGATGCCGAGCGCGGGAGAGGAGCGAGAGGCGATACGCCGCCGTGGGATTTGCTGGGGCCCCACGACACACCTCCACCAGCTTACATCCCCTCTCGCTCGAAAACACCCCGCATCTGGCACAGTACGTGTACTGACCCGAGACATGGAGCGAGTGCCCCAGGGCTTCCCCACGGAAGGCCGCTGGGATGTCGAGTTCTCCCTCCCCCACGCTCGAGACGTAACGACGGTCCGACCCCATCCTCCCCCGACAGGGCCTGCGCTGCAACACTCTCTTGGCCTTGCGGCAAAAAGCGTGGCGGCAACAGACACGGCAGCGCCACGCTCCTCTAGTCCAGGCGAGTACATGGGGCTTTGCCCCTTGTGGCAAACCTACTCGACGACGGGGCTGTCCTGGGCCAGTGGCAGGTATCCCCGTGGAATCTCTGAAGTCCCCCACCGCCGTAGTCACCCCCGCCACAAGATTGAGCACTCCTTGGACCTCTCGCGATCGCGAGTCCCAAGTCTCACAGCGCCAAGGGGGGACCGCCTGACATTCGGCTCCAGCTTTAGCCTCTGCGTCCGCTAGCTGGTTGCCTAGGAAATCTAATAGGGCCTCCTCCGTTTCGTCCCTGGGCCCTCGAGAGTGCGCACGCACTTTCACAAACCGAAACTCGTCCTGGGCCGCGAAGCCCTCCTGAAACAAACACCAAACACGAACCCAGAGGTCCGAGTGTGGCCGAGACGGACGGAGGCACCACCGACTACCTCTACGGAGGCCGCGAATGACCGTGCTATTGTCTATACCCACTCTCAGTGGTGGTGTGGCACACTCGAGAAGTTTCGCCAGGGCAGCGATTTCGGCACGCAAAACTGAACTAAAACACCTCAAACCTGGGAGCGAGCCGCGCATGGCCCTGACGACTGCCCCTTGGGCGTCCAGAACAACATATCCCCATCCAAAGCTCTTTAGCCCTGGCGGGCCTCGACCTGAACCATCGGTATACGCCCATCCCTGCGTGAGCGGCGGGTTCTCGAACCCAGGGCCCAAGGCCTCGATGGCAGGGACGACGTCCAAAAACGGATCCTCCAGGGGATGTTCGACCAGACCGCGAGAGAAGAGGAGGGAATCCGAGGAAGAGGCTTCGAAACGATGGACGATCCCCTGGAGGTGTTCTCTCTCTGCCACCGCTGCTCGGGCTGCGCTGGCGGCCTGGCACTGGGAAAATCTGTGGTGCTGGCAACCTATAGCCTCACCGCATTGCTGGCAGGACCTGTCATGCCCGTACCCAGCGCTCCAAACTTTGTCCTGTGTCCAAAAATCCCGGCCCACATAAGCCAAAATGGCGGCCTGACGGTTGCCCGATCGGTTCCTCCTGGCACGAAGTAGGGCCCGAATGGGCTCGAGAAAAGGCCGCGCGATCCCAAGGCTTCGAGACTCCGCCCAGGCCGACATTTCCTGAAACTCCAGCCTGGCAAAACTCATGGCTTTGACACAGGTGGGGGCCACCCGCCTAAGATCCCAAATATTCCCCAGGTGGTCGCGAAAGACCGCGAAGGCTGGCCAGGACCACGAGAGCCTACGGAGCGTCGCGAGCACGGCCGTGGCTGGTCCTTTGATACCTCGCCAAAGGCTGCGACCAGGGCGAGCCTGGGCCGCCGCGGCTGACGCTCGGCGCCACGCTGCCCGCATCAGCTCCTCGTGGCGGCCTTCCCAAACGGCCTTGGCCCATTCATAGAGGGGGCGTGTACACGCGCCCACCACAGGGTCACACTTGAGAAGCCAGAGACGCAAGGCGCGGTCCTTGCCTATGGCCTGACCTCCGAGGGCACTGGCCATCAGCACGCGCGCTTGGTCTACGCGGGTGGGGTTCAGCCCGAGACAAGCCGCAGCGTACATCACCGACGGCATGAATCCCATCCGCGCGACCTTGAAAGGTCTGGCCCCCGGCTTAGCCAGACTGGCTAGCTTTCTTTTCCTCTTCAGGGCGGAAACCATCCGTTCCCCGAAGCGGGGGCGATTGGAAAGGGGGCCGCCTCCAGCTGAATCCACCCCCAATTGCGTGCTAGACGTGTGAGTGGTGAGGCCTAGACTCCTCGCCCATCCCCTCAAACGCTGGCGAAGGGGGCGGCTGGCAGCCAAGATGAACCCTTTCCCTGGGGGTCCCCCTGGCCTGGCTCTCGACACAGGGATGCCTCGGGCCTTCATGGCCTGTACATAATGAGAGACTCCATCGTACAAGGCCAAAGACACCTCCTCCTCCGAACCTCGAGCCTGCAGGCTGAGGTCATCGACGAACAGCTTGAGATGGAGCGTCGGCTGGAGCCTGGCTATCGAGTCGGTGACCGACAGGATGGCCAACTTCAGACAGCGCGTACCTCCCGTGCTGCCCGCCACTACAGCGGAAAAGGTGGTGGTGGTGGTGGTGTGGGGGGAGACTACCCCTCGAAAGGAAACCAGCCGTTCGCTGGTGTAGATGGATATAAGTAACTTGAGCAGCTGAGGAGGGAAACCGTGCCTGGGGGCCTCCGCCCACAACAAATACATACTGCAATGCTCGAAGGCCTTGTGCAAATCTAGGACTGCCGTACCCGACGTTTCGCTTGTCATTCTTCAGGAGGAGGAGGAGGAGGAGGAGGAGGAGGAGGAGGAGGAGGAGGAGGAGGAGGAGGAGGGAGGAGGAGGAGGGAGGAGGAGGAGGAGAGGAGGAGGAGGAGAGGAGGAGGGACGGGAGGAGGAGGAGGAGGAGGAGGAGGAGGTAGGAGGAGGAGGAGGAGGAGGAGGAGGAGGAGGAGGGAGGAGGAGGTGGATGTGAGGTGGAGGTGGAGGAGGGGGAGGAGGAGGAGGAGGAGGAGGAAGGAGGAGGAGGAGGAGGAGGGAGGAGGGGAGGAGGAGGAGGGACGGGCGGAGGAGGAGGGGGGAGGAGGAGAAGGAGGAGGAGGAGGAGGAGGAGGAGGAGGAGGAGGAGGAGGAGGGGAGGAGGAGGGATGCTCAGGAGGTGGGGAGAGGGGCGGAGGAGGAGGAGGGATGCTCAGGACAGGGGCGGAGGAGGAGGAGGAGGAGGAGGTTGAGGAGGAGGAGGAGGAGAGGAGGAGGAGGAGGGATGTCGGAGGAGGATGGAGAGGAGGATGGAGGAGGGGGGGAGGAGGAGGAGGAGGGATGGAGGAGGCGGAGGCGGAGGAGGAGGAGGAGGAGGAGGAGGAGGAGGAGGAGGAGGAGGAGGAGGAGGAGGAGGAGGAGGAGGAGGAGGAGGGGGAGGAGCAGGGATGCTCAGGAGCAGGGGAGAGGGGCGGGGGGGGGGCACGAGCAGCCGCCTGGAGCAGCACGGGCGCAGGAACACCGAGAGGCTCCAGACTCGAGGCCGACCCTCGGCCTCGGACATTTTTTTTGACCTTCTGGGCTTCCCGACGACGTCGACGACGACGACGACGACGACGACGACGACGACGACGACGACGACGACGACGACGACGAGAGAGAGAGAGAGAGAGAGAGAGCCGGGGGGAACGAAAGGGGGGGTCGAGAATCAGCTCCCGTAGCTGATTTTCCCAGCGCCTCCTGGCGCCTGGAGGCGCCCATGTGTCGAGGAGTGGGCCCGGCGGCGGGGCCGAAACCAGCTGCACGCAGCAGATTTCGTACCCCCCCCTTTCCCTATCCCCTCCTTTCGTTCGGCCCGAGAGAGAGAGAGAGAGAGACTGCGACTGTGACTGCGACTGCGACTGCGACTGCGACTGCGACTGCGACCCGCGTTGCACACCCTGTAGGTGCCGCGGGTTGGGGCCGAAACGCACACAAAACGACTAAACTGCTGCGCAAAACATGTCCTCGAGATGGCTCCACACATCCCGGGAGGCACACTTTCTGATAGCATAAACGGCATCACGCGCCTCACTCGCATCAGAAAATTATGTTTTCTCTTCCAGATTCAATGCGTCTTGATGATTTGCTATGAAATTGAAGATGTCGTCGATCCAACGTCTTCTTGGTCTGTTCGGGCGTCTTCTGGCGTCCACTTCTGGGCAACTGCGTGGATCCCATGACAAAAGCGTGCCGCGCCCATCTCCCCCGGCGGTGTGTTTGCCAGCCGTGCCAACCACTTCCACTTGCTGCGGAAGAGGAGGAGGAGGAGGAGGAGGAGGAGGAGGAGGAGGAGGAGGAGGAGGAGATGAGGAGGAGGTCGTCGCCGTAGAAGGAGGAGGAGGAGGAGGAGGAGGAGGGATGAGGGCCACCGAGAGCGCGCCCGAGTCGAACAAGCCTCGGGAAAAGGGAAACCCCGAGGGGCCTCGAAGCGGCTGGATATCATGAACCGGGAGGGCGAGCGGAGGCCAGGGTGAACCAACGCCTCAAACCGCCCCCAGGAAGGACACACAACCAACTGATAGAAAGAGAGAGAGAGAGAGAAAACAAAAAATCCAGTTGGCCGGCCACATAAGCTCTGGACACAGGCAAGTTGACGTGTCTTGGGGGCGCGCCTCTGTCGGGTCGGGCGACAGGGGGGGATAGCAAAGGGGGGGCTTGAGAATCAGCTCACGTAGCTGATTTCCCCGGCGCCTCCCGGCGCCAGAGGCGGCTATGTATCGAGGAATGGGCCCCTCGGTGAGGCCGAAACCAGCTGCATGCAGCAGATTTCGTAACCCCCCTTTCCCAATCCCCCCCTTTCGCCCGGCCCGACTCTGGCTCCCGCCGGGTTCCGCCGCCCTTCCGCCGGCGGCGCCGCCCTTGCCCTGCTCCCCGCCCGCCTCCGCCGACGACGAGGCGTCCACCTCTCGATCCCCCTCCCGGGCGCGGCCCTTCCAGGAGCGCCCCCCCCCTTTGGCAGGCCCCCTCCCAGCTTCCTGGAAGGAGGCCCAGGGGCATGCCAGCAAAGGGACACACATCCCAGGATCCCCCACGGTGTCCACTACAGTCGGGGCCTTGACCTAAGGAACCGAAAATAAGGAACGAGGCCCCTTTTTTTCCATAAGTTAAGCTTCGATTTCCGATCGAAAACACCAGGAACACCTGAGGCAAGCTGTGAAACACACTTAGGGAACACGGAGCCCCTCCCCAACGAGAAGGGTTCCTTCTTCAGGGCCCCGACTGTATCTTCTAGGTGCCCGTCTTCCCCCCCCCCCACTTCCCGTACCTCCCCACAGTCTTCCTGGGAGTCGACGATCCGTCGTGCCTGCGTGCTTCTGCCCCCCCCCCCCGGCGGGCTTCCTGTTCAGGCCGCGCAGCGACCCGAGCTGACCCGCGGGGCCCCGCAGCGCCGCCAGCCGCTCCTCGCCCGGCCACCGCAGGCGGGCTCCCTCCTCGCCCTCGCCCCCCGCCCCCCCGCCCCCCCCGCGGCGCCCGCTCTCCAGACCTGGGCGTGTGCTGTGGACTCGGGAGCCCCGGTGAGCGGGAGGAGCAGGCAGGGAGCAGGGGGGGGGGGGAGGGGAGCGAGGACTGCTGGTGATGAGCATGATGATGCTGCTGCTGCTGTTGCTGCTGCTGATGCTGATGCTGATGCTGATGCTGATGCTGATGCTGATGATGATGATGATGATGATGCTGATGATGATGATGATGATGATGATGATGATGATGATGATGATGATGATGATGATGGTGATGATGATGATGATGATGATGGCGGTGGCGAGGATGAGGATGAGAAAGAGGAGACGGGAGAGGAGGAAAAGAAAGAGGATGAACGATTTACCCCGCTCACTCGAGCTTCTAGCAGGGCCTAGCAGACAAACCCCTCCCTGTCCCATTCCATTCCTCCCCCTCTCTCCCTCTCTCTTTCCCGGTCTCCCTTCCGCTACCCCTCTCCCTCCAGTTCGCTCCCCTCCCACCTCGTCCTCCTTCCTCCTCCCACTCTGCTGCTGCTGCTGCTGCTGCTGCTGCTGCTGCTGCTGCTGCTGCTGCTGCTGTTGCTGCACATCCATAGCCTTTGGGGCTCTAGCTGAGCAGATCGTAAGGCAGGTGGCGAGCACGCAACCGCTCGCCGGCCTCAAGGGAAAATAATCATCACGCTTTGACCCTTCTCGCTCATTTGTGTGGGTTGGCACCCGATGGCGCATCGAGAAGGAGCGGCGACCGGCGCGGATGGGCACCATCCCAGTTTCGCTGCTGTCATGAACGGCATCGACGGAACTCGGGAGCGCTCGCCCAGACGTGCAAACGATCAAGGACCTCCGCAGCAGGCTGCAGCACGGTCTCCGGCTGCTGGTGGAGGCAATGAGACTAATACGCACGGCCTTGAGAGTTTGATAAAGGAGATGGTAACATCGAACCAGATGATCGCCAACAGCATGCAGGCGCTGATGCAGCAGCTTGCAGCCGGACAGGGGGTAACAGCAACCCCCCCTCCTCCACCAGGTTTGGATCAGCAGACCTTGTTGCAGACGGCGGCGGCGGCCACCACAGCTGCAAATCATGCGGCTTCAGCGGCCGCGGCGGCGGCGCAAGCGTGCCGCAAGCCGACCAAGATACCGAAGGAAATCTTGGTGGCGCTTGAGGGAGTGAAGAAGCGCTTCGAGGGAGACCTGCGCAAGCTGGCAGCAGCCACGCGGAGAGCAGAGAAGGTCACCTCCGAGCTGGCCGATTTCGAGCGCGGGCCTGGCCGCTACCCAGCGGGCACTAGGCCTTTTTCGTCCTCAGCAACACAGATCGAGTTGGATGAGGCATGCACGAGCGCAAGTGCAGACTCTTTGAGGCTCCAGATCGTGGTGCCCCAGGGCTCGACCTACAGGGAGGCCATGGCGCACTTGCACTGGGCGTGCTCGAAAGAGATGCGCGCCTTGGAGCTGGAGGCCGCCAAAGACAAGCTGGCGAGTGCCAGGCAGGCAGCAACGAAGGAAACGTTCTCCACTTCCGTCAGGACGCTCGTCCTTTCGGCATCGGAGCGGGACATCTCTGCGGCGTTGGGCCTCGAGCAGCCCCTGTACACGCCGATCCCTGAGACAGAGGTGTCGGAGTACGCGGCTGTGCTCTACAAGCAGGCTGTGGACAAGGTAGCCAAGGAAGTGGAGACGAGGAAGGAGGAGCAAGCAAAGAAGAAAGCAAAGGAGGATGAACAGGAGATGGAGCGGCTTCGCCTTGATCCTGCCAACATGCTTGAACAGGTCATTGATGCAAGGATCGCGGATAAGTTGAAAGACCACCCATCGGATCTGGACGAGGACATGAACGGCGAGACACCGCCTTCTTCAAAGACCTTGTGCAACCAGCTGATGGCAAAAAACGGATCTCCCCCGGCTGCGAAGTCGGGGAAAGCGAAAGGCAAGAATGGCGAAGGCAAGGGCAAAGGCAAGTACACTCTCAAAGGCGACCACGACAAAGGGAAAGGCACATCTACACACAGCAAGGGTGGCAAACAAACAAAAGGTGGGAAAACGGATGGTGGAAAAAACGGCAAGGCGGATGGAAAGGGCAAGAGTGGCAAGAAGGGCAAGCCCGGCAAGGGCAAGGACGGCAAGCACGGAAAAGGTTACGACAAAAAACATGGAGGGTACAACAAAAAGTGGCAATGAGGCATCGTGGAAACATTCGTTGGATGGCCAGGCTAACACAGGGCTTGGACGCAGGCGACATTCACGTTTTGCTGAATTGGGACACTTGGGCTGAAAGAATTCAGTTGTACAATCCGCGTACGAAATGCATGGAACCCATTACAGACATACCTTGGCCAATCAAGTGGCTGATCATGCGACGACACCGAAAGCACCGGTTTCAATCGCGATCTCTTCCTTCGTTGGCTGCTGCTCGGATGCATTGGCAACACTTTTCCGATCGACTCAAATGGAAATGGTATTCAAAGTTCTTTCCTTCTGACAATCCATTGCCCTCAGGTCCAAAGCCCCCTTCTCCATGCAGATTTTCTCAAACAAGCAAGGCTCGTGAAAAAAACGAGTTCTTCGAGTTGGAGACTTGGATCCAATGTGCAGGGCGTTGCTATATGAGAGCGGTCTCAAGAGCGAGATCGAGGGCGAAGTTTGCTCCCAGAGACTTTTCGAACACATGTCCGCTCGAGAAGTTGGCGCTCAGACTTCTGAGACAAAGCGGGTACACTGCCATCCCTAACGATAAGAATGGCAGTTTCTCCTTCGTTCGACGCGTAGACCTTCCGGCAATTAGCTCAGAGATCCTAGGCTCCAGTAAGTATTTTGAGACAAGTGCCATTGGGCTGAACCAGGGGGTTAGAGCACGATATAGAACAATTTGCAAATGGGTTGCAAAAGAAATGGATGACCGTAGATTGGCTTCGAATCTCATGCGGTCCGCTTTCTTCCCGAAGGCCACACATGTAAGTAGGCTGCTGGTGCTGGTTAAAAGCCACAAGCCTCAAGGGGAGGTCGTTTGTCGACCAGTCCACGCGTCGCCAAATTACGTATTCAGCAGCCTCAGCCACTGGTTGATCCCAGTATTGAGGGCTAAACTGAATGTGAGAGCACCTCATCTTCTCAAGGATTCTGGCGACTTGGTGTCGCGCCTGTCCCGCATCAAGCCAACGGGCAGGTGGCATATGGCTAAGGTGGATGTCAAAGATTTTTACATGTGCGGAACAAGAGAAGAGATATGTTCAGAGGTGCTTTCTCTTTGGGAAGATTGGGACCCAATGAAACGGGTAGTGGCTAAAGTTGTGGAGTTCCTTCTCGAAGCGCAATACATTGCCGACCCATGGGACGAACCCCATGACACGGTTCACGGGGTCGGCACTGGGACAGGGATGGGGCTCCCACACTCAGGAGACTTAGCCGACGTAACGCTTCTAGCCTTGATGGAAATCAAATTACTCAAGCGCGAAATCCTCAACCACCATGGTATTGAGGGTTACTTCCGGTTCCGAGATGACATTCTTATCTTGGGGAGTGGGCTGGCTTCTATGACGAACCAGTTCTTCAGACAAATGCAGGAACATGCGAAGTTTTACCCTCTGACAATATCTTGGGACATGTGGGATATGCAGTATTTGGAGGTTGTTGTGCACAAGCGGGAGGGGAGATTCGAGGTCTCTCATTTCTTGAAGCCGTCATCTCTGCTCCCCACGCTTTCTCCTAGCAGCGCACACCCAGAGCAAATACATAAATCATGGCCAGGAGCATTTGCCCATAGAGTCCGTGGTCTGTGCAGTAGTGATACACTCTTCCATGTTGCTACACAGTCTGTCAGAGAACGCATGCGTGTAGGATACACCCACACATATACCAGAGCTATTTTTGAGCAGGCCATTAAACAAGTGTCATGCCATAGAGCTGGCACGGCCAGGCTTAAGCAGGTTCCATTTGCATGGCTCGTCCTCGGATACCATCCTGTGCTGGTCGCCGAGATGCGACGCCTCATTTGCCAGTTGAACACGAGTGAAACACTCAGACTTCTGTTTGCAAAGGCCTTTCGTTCGCGAATGGGGGAGTGCCGGCAAGCAGTGGGTCTGAGCTGGCGCAACAGCGCGCCTTCGCTCATATCGGTAGTTGTTTCCACAAGCATGCATGTTCATTAACGGTGTAGTGGATGGGGATGGTGGTGGTGTGCTGTTGCTGCACATCCATAGCCTTTGGGGCTCTAGCTGAGCAGATCGTAAGGCAGGTGGCGAGCACGCAACCGCTCGCCGGCCTCAAGGGAAAATAATCATCACGCTTTGACCCTTCTCGCTCATTTGTGTGGGGAGCGAGGACTGCTGGTGATGAGCATGATGATGCTGCTGCTGCTGTTGCTGCTGCTGATGCTGATGCTGATGCTGATGCTGATGCTGATGATGATGATGATGATGATGATGCTGATGATGATGATGATGATGATGATGATGATGATGATGGCGGTGGCGAGGATGAGGATGAGAAAGAGGAGACGGGAGAGGAGGAAAAGAAAGAGGATGAACGATTTACCCCGCTCACTCGAGCTTCTGGCAGGGCCTAACAGACAAACCCCTCCCTGTCCCATTCCATTCCTCCCCCTCTCTCCCTCTCTCTTTCCCTGTCTCCCTTCCGCTACCCCTCTCCCTCCAGTTCGCTCCCCTCCCACCTCGTCCTCCTTCCTCCTCCCACTCTGCTTTGGAAGAGCAAGCCATCACCCATCGACGGCTCCAGTCCGCGAAGACTAGAAATAGCACGCGCTCGGCAAACGCGTCGACGAACAACTGATCCCAAACGGACTGGCTGGTAGCAATAAGTCCCCTGCAATGGCCTGCTGGGGCTGACTATTTTTAGGTCGGGCGTGCCCGCCTACAGACGGATTTTGGACGAAAAACAAAGCATACCCGAAAAGTGCTGACACATACTTGAAAATAGTGAAAAATTGTCCCCAGACTATTTTTTGACTATTTTTGAATCTTCCTCCTGTAGAGGGACAGGCCCGACTTACGACTGTTTTTCCCTGAGACATACTTGCGCGAATGGCCCCAGGGCGGGCTCCCACCCGAGACGGGGCCCTAGTGGCCGCCATCATGCCTCCTGCTGGTGCTGCTCCTCCACCTCTCCCTCCTTTTTCTCTTCCTGCTGCTTCACCGTCCTCCGCCTGTTCGCTTTGACTTGAGCTGAGAACGCGTCTCAACTCCCAGTAGCGAAGCCAACCGTGGCAGACGACTAACAACAACATGGACCGTTAGGGTGAAGAGACAACCGATTACGTTGTTATGTACCAAGCATTCATGGGCCGAGATAAAGCATCACACCTGAACCGTCGCCGAATGGCCACGTTGACACACGTAGACCCTGCCAGCCTAGCCAGCATCAAGCATTACATCAAACACTGGCCCTGCCCTAAACAAAACTTCGTCCATTCTAAGACGCTCGAAACGGGAACTTCTCATGCCTCATCGCCATGTCGCTTTGGGGCAGAAGCACTGCTTGACTGCTGATGCAGATTCCTTCCCTTTCTCTCCCCCCCGCATACGCCCGCTCCTCGAATCCTTCATCCTCTTCCTCTTCCTCATGCTGCTGCTGGTGATCATGCCTCCGCTGCTGCTGCTCCTGTTGCTTCTACTCGTCGTGCTCGTCGTCGCCCTCCCAAACGTCCTGACTCGCCTCATTTTCCACTCACTTTTCCTCCTCCACCTCCTCCTGACGTCTTTTCCCTCTTGATCGTCTTCATTTGTATCTTAGTCTTTCCAGCCATCGTCTTCCTCCCCTCCCCCCTACTGGTCCTATTCGCGCGCTTCTTTGCGGTGATCCTCCTCATCCTGTACTTCGCTGTCCTGGTTCTTGACCATGTACTACTCCGTTTCTGAGCTGCGTCCAGCAGTGGCGACGATGGCTGGCCCCCCAACACCCCCCCCCCGAAATCTCCGATCCGAGGCTGGGAAAAAAAGCGCAATGCAACAAGAAGTGCAATGCAAGACCGCTGCAATGGAACACAAACTGCGGTGTCGAAGCCACGGATCACGGATCCCGGTGGTTGGCTTGGCGCTTTGGGCACCGCACCCTGCTTGCGACTCTCTGAACCTCTCCCAGCTCCCACGCGGAATCCTGAGCTGAAGCTGAGGCTCAAGCAGCCGATCGCACCCAGCCGATCCAGTAGGGCTCCCCCCCACCCGACCGAATGTCGAACCGTAGGCCTCCCAGAGGGGTCGGGGTGGGGGGACCAGGCAAGGAGTTGAGCAGGGACCGACCGTCCCTTCATTCCTATCGTCCTACCACGACATGTTCTTAGAACCCCCAGATGCTCTACGAACAGAAACAATGTTCTTAGAACACAAAGCCCGATGTGATACAGCAAGACAGAGACTCGGGCCAGAAATGTTCTAAGAACATTTCGTGGAAGCCATCAAAGGTTCTTAGAACATTGTCTGGTAGGGCTACAGGCGAGCCAGGACGCTTCGCCACTGCTTGAAGGAGAGGCCCGCCGCGCGCCCCTATCCTCGTGGCTGCGCCCGGTGAGGCTCAGCGTGCAGCTCTCCGCCACGAAGCCCTGCACGTGCGGAGGCGCCCTGGTCGCCGCGTTCGAGAAATCACGCTCCATGACGGCTCGCGTGATGCGGTACGTCTGCTCGGGCACCTCGCCGAACTCGGCGACGGCTCGAGCCACAGCGGAGAGGAGCGCCAGGAGCTTGTCGTTGTAACCGCCGAACCTCACCATGACGCCGGTTGCCGTCGCCCCCATGCTGTAAGAGAGCCCGGCCATCTGCGCTTCGTACGCGAACTGGTTCAGCTCCTCCATCACCGCGGCGCACCAGAGCTCGACGCTCACCCTGTGCTCCAAGCATTCCGCAGTAAACGGGCAGTGAATCATGAACGCGCACACCGCCTTCGGAAGGCCAAAGTCCTCGTCCTTCCTGAAGTACGCGGTCGCCACGGAACCGAGCTCCGAGCCTGGGAACCAACAGGGGCCTGCACATGCTAAGATTAGGTCGGGCGTGTCCTCCTAGAGGCGGATTTTGGACGAAAAATGACCCTGAGTCAAACATTGTAGAATGGTCAAACATAGGAGAAACATCGTCTCCAGACTATTCTTTGTCTGTTTTTGAACACTCCTCCAGAGGGCACACGCCCGCCTTAACGCTAGCACAGACGGGCCGAGGGCGAAAGGCAGGCGGAAACAAAGTGGTGCTGGGCCCGCCGCCATGCTCCCTCCGCCGGATCCGGGCGCAGGCGACATTCGCTGAAGGCGAGGCCCCTTCCCGAACGCCCAATATATGATCGAGGGTCGAGGGTTCACGGGCCCCCCCCCCCCAGATGGTATGGTTCCAGGATTCCTCGGGCCCCCCCCCCCTCCAGATGCTATGGTCCCAGAGACGACGACGACGACGACGACGACGACGACGACGACGACGGCGGCGGCGACTACGACGACGGCGACGACGACGACGACCACGACGACGACGACGACGGCTGCGGCGGCGACGACGCCGGCGGCGGCGGCGGCGACGACGACGATGACGACGATGACGACGGCGACGATGACGACGACGACGACGAGGACGACGAGGACGACGAGGACGACGAGGACGACGAGGACGACGAGGACGAGGACGAGGACGAGGACGACGACCTCTGAACCACCACAGCACCACACCACATCCACAGGGGGGGGGAGGGGGGCACCGCAGCGCAGCACCACGCCACGCCCACTTCTGAACCACCACAGCACCACACCACATCCACAGGGGGGGGGGGCACCGCAGCGCAGCACCACGCCACGCCCACAGGGGGGGGCGGGGGGGACCATCGCGCGGGGGGGGGGGGCCCAATGGCATCAGCATTGGGGGGGGGCCAGCCCTGGACCATATATAGAGGCCTCCCAGTTGGGGTCGG